CTCTCTTATACTTGTGCACACCTGTGATGGTACCCAGAGCCCACAAGCTTCCTTGTCCCTTACTTACTTTACCAGGACTGTACTGAGCCACCACAGAGCTTTGGAGTGCTCCTGGTGTTCTGGGTGAATAAATGTCATGCTACATGTACATGCCAATTAGGATTTCACTTTAAAAAAAAGTCATTTTACTGGGGGCTCATACAACTCATCACAATCCATACATACATCAATTGTATAAATTGTACAATTTATACAATTTGTACATTCGTAACCCTCATCATTCTCAAAACATTTGTTCTCCAAGTAAGCCCTTGGCATCAGCTCCTCATTTTTCGCCCTCCCTCTCCGCTCCCACTTCCTCACTAACCCTTGATAATTTATAAATTATTATTTTGTCATATCTTGCACTGTCCGATGTCTCCCTTCACCCACTTTTCTGTTGTCCATCCCCCAGGGAGGAGGTTATATGTAGATCCCTGTAATCGGTTCCCCCTTTCTACCCCACCCTCCCGGTATCGCCACTCTCACCATTTGTTCTGAAGGGATCATCCGCCCTGGGTTCCCTTCACTGTGTTTTCTAGGTAATTGTTGCAGCACATGGGAATTTGGATTCCCATTTTCACAGTCCTAAAACAGGCTGGCAAAAGGACCAGATTTTGTCCTTAGTGTTAGAACTACTTAGAGCCAGGGCTTGGAATCATGCTGCCTTTATTGACTTGTAGTGCTACTTAGAGGCCCTGGTGACAAAGTGAGTAAAGTGTTGGGTTGCTAATTGAAAGGTTGGTTGTTCGAATCCACCAGTTTCTCTGTGAGAGAAAGATGGACAATCTTCCATAAAGATTTGCCGCCTCAGAAACCCTATGGAACATTTCTGCCCTTTCTCATAGGTCAGTCAATCAGTCAGTCAATCTAAATAATTCCTGACATGTACTTGGAGCCAAATCTGTGCTTGAAATTATAAGGAATTTATTATAATAAGTGGGCTTGTGTGTTTGTTTGTTTTAACGCTGTGATTGCTCCTTTCAAGGTTCTGTCTTCAGTGGGAGAAGTGGAGGGGAGGACAGGGCTGTATTACACATGCATTTGCTCACCTTCAGCTGTTAGGCCCTCTTGGGACTGTAGAAGAGAGCCAGGCTTGGGAAGAGAGACATACTAGAGCATTTGCTGGTTTTTTTTTTAAAAAAGAGGCTGCTTTCAGGAAGAACAATATTTCAGTGATGATGTGAATCTCTAATGGTGGAATTTCAGGCAGGTAGGTCATGGAAGAATGTAATGAATGAAATGTTCAGCAAGAAAAAGAGATGAGGGTTAGGAAATGGCGCCTCTGATTTGTTTTTAGCTATACAAATAGCGCCATCTGCTGTGCACCTCCAGGATGTTCAAGGTCTTTTCTCTCCTGGAGCAAAAGCAAACCCAACCCAACCCAACCCAACTCACCCTGATAAGATCCCTATAGGATGGTGTGCAAGGGCTTCTTAGGGTTTCTGAGGCTATAAGTCTTTTAACAATTTTTAGATCATCTTATTGGGGGCTCATTCCGTACATAAATTGTATCAAGCACATTTGTACACATGTTGCCATCATTTCCAAAACATTTTCTACTTGAGAGGTATAAGCTCCTCTCTCTTTCCCTCCCTCCCACCCTCATGAATCCTTGATCAATTATATATTGCAATTATTATTTCTTATCTTACACTGCCCGTTGTCTCCCTTCACCCACATTTCTCTTATTCGTCTCCTTGGGGGTGGGATTGGGATCCTATATATCTAACCTTGTGATGGGTTCCCCTTTGTGGAAGCAGACAACCTGATCTTTCTCCCCAGGAGCAGCTAATGTGCTTGAACTGCTGACCTTATAGTTAGCAGCCCACTGCTTAACCCACTGCACCACCAGTGTTTCTTCCTGAGGCAAAGTAGGCAGGAAACTGCAATATTTCAGCAAGAATCTTGGCGCTTACACATTTCTTCCTCTTCTCTGTATCCTTGTTCCACCACATCTTTTGAGACCTCAGCCACTGACAACTCATTTTAGGAGCGAAGTTCCAGTTTCGCCACTTTTATTTTCTCGAATGAACTCTGTGGTCTTATCAGTAAGCCCTTCTTATTCTGTAGCTCATCCTTTCTCTTCCGTACCCCAGGTCTAAGCCACATATCTCTTTTCTACTCCATCATCCTTTCTTCCTTGTCCCCTGGCAACTCGTTGGTTCTAATGAAAGACCTAAAAGTAGCTAGTTTCTTCCTTCCAGAAGGAGTTTACTCTTTATTTTTGGTCTGGTCCAGGCCTCACATTCCCTGACTCCTTTCTGAGAGAGCCATCCTTTGGGCTCAGCTGCCACCTCGCATATCTTGGCTGAAGCTGTTTCCTTGGCTCTACTGGGCTAGATCATGAGTTTCTCCATGGCAGGGATAACTTTTTGATTCATTCCCCTAAGTCTAGGGCTTAGAAAAGGACCTAGCATTTATTAGGCACCTCAGTACGTGGTGAATTAATGAGTGATTTAATAAATGGATTAATAGAGAAATGTGGAGGCAATTAGGAAGGAAGGGGACTTGATTGGATGGAAGGTCTTGTCAATCAACAGAGGGGATGTGTGGGTGAAGGCTAGTATAGGTTTGCATTATAGCTATTTCCCTTGAGATCTTCCCTGCATTGGGGGGGCACTTAGGAAAGACCCAGGGTAGCAGAGGGTAGTCTTAAGTCCTGCCCGGCCCCCTTAGCTTCTGGGAGCAGGGAGGTACTCAAGAATCCAAGAAATACAGCTCAGTATTCCATTCTCATCTTCTTTAAGACTTCCTTACTATCTTCTGGTCCTATCTCAGTCACTACGTTTTCCCCTCCATCTTTGTCTAGCTTGAGGATTATTCTACATTTACAGAACCTCCCCAATAGTCTAGTATAAGGGAGTATGGGGAATTTAGAGTCATACCGATTTGAATCCTAGATCTTGTACATTCTTAAAAGCCTCCTCTTTCTGAGCCTCATATCTACATCTGTCCAATGCTGATAAGGATAATAATAATATATTGTTATCTTGAGGGAAGACAAATACCTTATAAATTATATGTTATGACTTTTATTCTATGAGGTAGAAGTTGGAGGAGGAATTTAGATACCTAGAGATCTCACTTCAAAGCCTCGATTCCTGGCAGCAAAATTATCACCACTCCAAGCATTCGGGTAAAGATGGTGGTTTCTGTTGGACTTGGGCTAGCTCAGTGCCAGATCGTGAGCAGAGAAGGGAGAACATGTGTCGAGGGCTGGAGCCTTTATTTTCCTCCTCGGTGCCACAACTCGCCCTGTGTTGGCTGCACCCCCTTGCCTGGCTCCCACCAGCTCCCTGCATCACCCCATAGGCTGCACAAGGCCCAGGAGGAACACCGCACAGTGGAGGTGGAGAAAGTACATCTGGAGAAGAAGCTGCGTGATGAGATCAACCTTGCCAAGCAGGAAGCCCAGCGCCTGAAGGAGCTTCGGGAGGGCACTGAGAATGAGCGGAGCCGACAGAAATATGCTGAGGAGGAGTTGGAGCAGGTAGGAGAGTCGGCTAACTCTTAGACACCTTGTGGGGTGGGAAAGGGGGCAGGGCAAAAAGATGCTTGGGAGCTTTCCTGTGTGACAACTTTGAAGTATGGCTCCAGGAATACCATCGACAGTCTAGCCTCTTACCAGTAAGAGCGGTGGGAAAAGACTGTTTTGTCCCATACAAGACTTGCTGCTTTTCTTGCTGTCTCCCACAAACCCTCTCTATTTTTTCATTCAGGTTCCATAATTACAACGGCCACACAGAACTCACAATTATGGGCTTATTATGGGAGTTAACAGGTTACAATTTAGGTGGGAACTGCTCAGGTGTAGTTGTTCAGTCAGGACATGTCACAAAAACCTGTCTAATGCTTGGTTGAAAATCGTGCCGTGCTAGTTCATTTCAAGACCTGCAGGGTGACTAAGGTCACAGTCTCAGGGAGATAACAGTCTCGATCTGACCAGTCAACCTGGTTTTTAAAAAATGATTTTGAGTTTTGTTTCACATTTTTCTCCCACCCTATCCCATGACCTTCTTCTACGGTTCCTTTCAGAATCGTTGATAATGGTAGCTGGGCGCCATCTGGTTCTTCTGGAGACTAATGTTTGTATGGCCCGTTAGACCAGTTGCTTCCATTCATGTTCAACTGTTAGTACTTTTCTTCCCTCTGGACAGAGAGAGATCAATAGTTGCACCTTAGAAGGCGGCTCATGACCCCAGTTGCTCCTTCCCAAGGAAGGATGTAGAACATTGTTTTCGTGTTGTCTGCTGAGCCTGGGGTTTCAGGACCCTGGTCTCAGAAGACAAAAGGCTCAGCAGCTCTTCACTCAAGATATTTGGTTATGACTAGAAGTTTCCCTAACTTTGCTCTGTGCATGCTTAACCACACTCTTGGATATATTTGTAGCAAAGGTAAATACAGATATACTCAGTTAAACCTATGTATATTTGTGGGTGTACACCAACTTTCTCTTCCACATCCACTCAGCATGCCTATCTATCAGCATCTACTCGTAGATCATTGCTATTGCAGGACGGTGTATATGACAGTATTTATCTCTTTTGCCTTTAACTCTTGCACTTCTCCCACTGTCTTTCACCAATATTTTATAGTCAAAACAGCTTTGACTTCACACTTGCTCTTGGGGACACCCTAGAGGCCTCTGATCACACTAAAGAGAATTGCAGGTCAAGTTCTTTTTTGCTTTCATAGCTCTCTGAGAGCTTTGAAAACACTCTTAATAACTTGAACAGCTTTTTCCAGTTGTTGTGTTGGAGCAGAATTTTTCTTCTGCTGTGATGCACACTGCATGGGAGAAAGAAGGGTTTTCTACTCCCCAAAAAACTTAGTCTCGGGGGCAGTTCTACCCTGTCCTTCAGGGTCACTATGAATCGGCATGGAGTCTGGCTTCGGTAATGTACTGCATCTTACTGGGCAGTGAAAGTGTTAATACTTTAAAATACATAAACCAGTGGCTTTTACACTCAGCTGCATGGTAGAAATACTCGAAGAGCTTAACAAAAATCGAGGCCTAGAATAACACCCTGCGCACCCACTGCCACTGAGTTGATGCTGACTCAGCGTGACCCTTTAGGACAGGGCACCGCCGCTCCTGTGAGTTTCCACAACGAAAACTCTTTCCGGGAATGGGAAGCCCATCTTTCTCCTATGGAGCCAGGGAAGGGTTTCAGCTTAACTTTTAACCACTATGCCACCAGGGCTCCGAGAATAGCACCCCAGATCAATGAAATTAGAATCTCTGCATTGGAACCAGACATCAGTGTTTTTTAAGTTCACAAGTTATTCTAGTTTGTGACAAGATTGAGAACCACAACCTTGTCACAAACATAAGCTAGGAGAATTAAAAACCCATCCATTTGATTGTGCCTCATGGCAATTGTGCCTCATGTGTGTCCTGGTAGAACTGTACTCCACAGGCTTGTCTGTGGCGGATTTTTCTATAGTTGATTGGCCTTTCTCTGAGCTGCTTCTGGGTGAACTCAAACCTACCCCCTTTTGCTGAGCAGGCTTTGCCTGCTTACTCTGACTTTCCTTCAGGCTTTTACTCCTTGTGTGTGGCAAGATGAGTCTGCCTTTATTTCTCTGCCTCCCGTTTCCCTACTTTGTAATTATTTCTCTCATTAAACAGTTCTTGTTGAGTTTTTGCTATTCTCTGTGTGAGTCACCTCCACTATCATGCTTTCCTCTGTCTACTCCCCCTTTTCCTCTTCGTTCCCCAGTCTCCCCTTCTTAGTTTATCTACTTTAAAAAATTATTTATTTAATCATTTTGTTGGGAGCTCTTACAGATAACATAACATTCCATAGTTCAATCATATCAAGCAGTATTGTACAATTGCTACCACATTCAGTTTCAAAACATGTTCTTTCTTCTTGAACTCCTTGATATCAGCTCTCCTTTCTCCCCTCCCTCCCCCACCCTACCCTCCAGGAACCCTTATTATTATTTTTGCTGCATCTTACACCATCCAGTATATCCACCTATGTGCAATTCTGTTGTTTACTCCTCTCAAGTGGGGTTACACAGTCATCAGTGCTATCAGCTGCTCCCCACTTCCCCCCACTTCCCGTTCCCTCAGGAAACCATTACTCCTGTTAGTTTCTGAAGTGTTATCTATCTTGGCTTTCATATATCAAATGATCTTAATTACTCAAATGAACATATGCAAGTCTAACATGATTAATGAGGTAAAACAAATAAAAACTATGATAGTAAAGAGAGGAAATATTAAAGAACTAGAGGGTAGTTATGTGTGCTATATCAGTGCTATACCGCATGCTGGATTTATCATCCCTTTGAGGGGCCCTTCTGAGAGGGACTGTCCTATTAATTTACAGATGGGTTTTGGGTCTCCACTACATCCATGCCCCTTCACACCAATTTGGTTGCTTGGTTTTTAAACTTCTGATACCTCTTCCTGTAGATACCTCATGATCACACAGGCTGGTGTGCTTCTTACATGTGGGCTTTGCTATTTCCCTGCTAGATACCTCATGTTTGACTACAGGCCTTTAATACCCTAGATGCTATATCTTTTAATAGCTGGGCACTATCAGCTTTCTTCACCACATTTGCTTATGCATCCATTTGTCTTCAGTGATCTTGTCAGGAAGGTGAGTTTCATACAATGCCACATTATTAAGATAAATCGTTCTTGAACTGAAGTAAGATCCAAAGTCCATCTGCTTCCTTCTTGCATTTGCATTTATATACCTATATTTAAATAATTATATATTTACATATATACAAGGGGGTATTACCCCCTCCCCCAAAAAAACCCACAACAAATGATGCTCTTTTGTTTTTTGCTGTGAGGTGGACTGTTAATCAAGCTTTCTACTTAGAGGTTCTGAAAAGATTGCATAACAGAATGAGACAAAAAAGGCCTGATTTGTGGCAGCTGGGTGACTGGTTTTGCTACCCCGACAATGTACCTGCTCATGCAGCCTTCTCAGTGTACCAGTTTTTGGCAAAAAAACGTCATGCTTCTCTTGCCCCATGCACCTTACTCAGCTGGACTCGCTCTGTGCGGCTTCTTTTTGTTTCTGTGAATGAAGGAAGGTATGAAAGGACAGTGACTTGACAAAGTAGAAGAGGTGAAGAAAAAAACAAGGATGTGCTGTCAGCCATCCAAACAGATGAGCTTTAATGATGGCAACATATGTACAAATATGCTTGATAAACTTATGTTTGGATTGTTATAAGAGCTGTAAGAGCCTCCAATAAACTGATCTTTTAATAAAAATAAATAAAACAAAAATAAACAGATGAGTTTTAAGGATGTTTCCAAAATGGAATTGCAGATTTGACAAATGTATTAAGTGTAATAGAGAGTTCTTTGAAGGTGATAAAGTTGTTTTGTAAAAACATTTAAATTCATAACGTTGGGGGAGTGGGGAGGGATTCCATTTTATGGGGGCGGGTACCTCCTTGTGTGTGTGTGTGTGTGTGTGTGTGTGT